ATGTTGTTTTGCCCTGTCTTGTGGCCTTCTTTTGAGAAACTGGAGAGGCAAGCAAAAGGACCAGCTGTGAAATATTCAGAATCTTCAGGGTCCTACATCCTAACAAATTAGGATCTGAAATATAAAATAATTAGTTATTTTGTAACATGAATATCTTTAAAAAAATTAAATAAATTGAAATTTTCAGATTCATTCAAAAGAAAGCGAAATTGTTTATTGGGATTTCTAGACTAAGATGCTGTCTTCAACAAACAAAATCCTTAGATGTACTTAGGTTCAAAATAACTTGTCCAATAAAAACAAAATTTGAAAATGGGACTTTGATGCTCTTGCAAATTTTGTGCCCAGCCTGGCACTTTCTTCAAAAAAGCGTAATTTCTCTCACAAGTTGTAAGGAACCTTTGGAGACCATCTAGTCATACCCATCTGATCAGGCAGAGCCAGCTAGAGACAATTGTTCGAGACCCTATCCAGGGAGCTTTTGAACATCTCCAAGGAGGGAGATTCCATAAATTCTCTGTGCAGCCATTCTATTGCTCAGTCACCTGAATAATGAAGTGTTTCCTGTGTTCAGACTGAGCCTCTGCGTTCCAGTCTGTGCCTATCGCTTCTTGTCCTGACACTGGGTGCCCTTGAAAAGAGTCTGGCTTCATATTCTTTGTACCTTCAATTCAGGTACTTATATATGTTGATGAGATCTTCCTGGAGCCTTCTATCCAGGAACAGTCCCATTTTTCATCCTTTCTTAATTATATAAGAGGTAATCCCGTACCTCAGTTAAACTTTGTGTCTGGACTCTCTCCAACATGTTCATGTTTCTTTTGTATTGTGAGTTGCATACTGCTCTAAGAGTGGCCTCACCTATGCTGACTACAGGGGAAGGATTGATTCCCTATGTTTCTTGGCAATTACTTTCCCTAACACAAGTCAGGACATCATTGCCTTCTTTGCCACGAGAACACACAAGAATGGTTAATTTGTCCACCAGAACCCCCATGCCATTTCTGCCACTTTTTAGCTGTGTGGCCCCCGGTATGTCTTTGTTCATGAGATTGTTCCTCTCCACATGCAGGACTTTGCACTTTTCCTTGTAATACTTCCTGAGGTTCCTGTCAGCACACTTCTCCCACCTGCCAAGATCCCTCTGTATGGTGACACAACGTTCTGGTATATCCACCATTGCTCCGAGCTTTGTGTCATAAGCAAACTTACTGAGCCCCCTTGTCCTCATTGCTAATGAAGATGTTAATGAGGATGGGGCCTAGTATTGACTCTTGGGGTACATCTCTCCACATTGACTTCCAACTAAACTTTGAGTCACTGATCACCACCCTTCTGGGCTTGGTCAGTCAGTCAGTTTTCAGCTTTAATGCTCTTGTCTGACCCATCAGGCTGGTCATTTCATTGTAGTAACTTTTAAATTAGTCAAGTGTGACTTCCCCTTTGTGAATTCATGCTGACTACTCCTGCTGATTTTCTACTTTTTTTTATGCCTGGAAATAGTTTCCAAGATTAGATAGTCCATTACTTTTCCAGGGACTGAAATGAGAATGACCATCCTGTAGTACGCTTGGTCCTCCTTCTTACCCTTCTTGAAGATAAGAATGATGTTTGATTTCCTTCTGGCTACAGATACTTTTCCCAATCACCGTGACTGATGAAGGATTATAGAGAGTGGCCTCACAGTGACATCTGTCAGTTCCTACAGCACCTGCAGGTGCTGTTTGCCTCTAGACTGGTGCTCCCTGTCAACATTATGAATATATTTTTATCCTGTAAATTGCAGCTAGTTGTTTGGGAAAGTCATGCTACTATGTTCATGAAGCTGCTCATCTCCTAACTTAGTGTTGGAGCACTGTCATGATTTTATGATTTTTGTTTTCTTTGTGACAAGCACTAAGGCACTTTAGACAGTGTAATTTATAATTATAATTCACTTGTACTATTTCAGTAATATATGATGTAGAACTTCAAAAATAATGAAATTGGTTATAAAATAGAACATTAGGTGGAGTTAAAGAAAAGGGAAAATGTCACTAAAAAAGAACAGTTCAGTGGACTACTTTTTCTTTGCAGAGTAATTCACTCCAATTGCTGTTGTTAAAAGAGACAAACCTTTGTAAATTTTAACTCTAGTTAACTTGCATTCCATGTTCCATCCTTCAAATGGCTTTGTAATCACAGAATGACAGAATGGTTGTAGTTGGAAGGCACGTCTGGAAGTTGCCCAGCCTAACCCTCCTGCTCAGTCAAGTCCTCCTAGAGTCAGTAATGTTTAAAATTCATATTCTTCAGACCCACAATTGTTATATCCTCCTTGTTTAAGACTTCCCACTACTCAACTGTCTGAAAATGTTTAAAGTGGTCTGAGTTGCATTAATATTGGTTATTGTAATGTTCAGGGATCACTACATTTGGCCTTTCTGAATAGAATTAATTTTCTGATGTATATTCAAAAACAGTTTTTATTTACAATAGAAGACAAATTTTTATTATTTCAGATGTTCTATTCCCAGTTTGCATGTCACAACATTACCAATGCATTTAAAACAGGAAGTCCTTGCTTAAATGCAGATCCTGTAGATATATTTGAATGTCAAATTTTGCACTATAAAAATTAACCAGCAGAGCTGTGGAAGTATCTTACAGCTTACTGCTCTGTATACTTAAGAATAAGCGAAAACACTCCTTAGCAGGAGACCAACAGAATTCTGCAGAGCAAGACGTCCCTTCTCTGAAATTCTATTAACAGACATTCTTGATTGTTGAACAGTTTTCAGAGCTGCAGATATGTTTGTATCTGTGAGCCAGAAATAGAAATCTAAATTAAACTGCTGGACTCCAGCAGAGATGTGTTTAATCGCTATTTGATAGATCTTATAACATGCAGGACATGCAGGTGATTGGGCTCTCACCCCATTCCATGTGTATCAAGCTTTCTAACCAGTTAAACATGTACTGTGGAAAACAGATTTGTGACTCAGAATGTGACTGACATGAGTTACAGAAAATCATATGTAAATGAATGCCTTCCAATGGCACGTCTAAAAACCCAATGTATTTGCCTTTCTCCCAGTGGCATTTAAAATAAGTGTTCTGCACACTCATTATCAAGGATTCCGTGCCACCCATTGGAAGACCCAAAAACATTGTTTTCCCTAACCTGACCCTGAGTGAGAGAAATCCAAGCTGACCCTGACTCTTTGCTAGGGAGCTGCAGTATACTGTAAAGAATGCATACCCAGGGTGCATAAAAGCTGCCTTCCACATTGTTAAAGAATTGTAAATAACTGAGAAATTGCTTCCTTCTGGACTAAAAAAATCTGCATGTCGTAGAAAAAAGTTTGCCATACATGAAAATAAAAGCTGGAGAATGAATACGTTTTCCCTAGATTGAAAATTTTTGGACTTGTTAAAGAAGAGAGCAAATGAAATATCTGAGTTGAGCAGCAAGGAATTTATACTGCTGTTTCAGTTAACTGCATGGGCTTATAGTGCCTTTATAAATGTGGAATGAATCTGTGTGGATTAGTGGCTTCACCAGCTTTGTGGTAGTGGAGGTGAAAGGAAGAAGGCAAGGAACCTTCTCAGTGTATTCTAATTTAGTGGTACTTTTAAATATCAGAAGGGAAATAATCAAAGGAACACATAAGGGTTTTTTTTTTTTTTTTTTTTTTTTTTTCTGTAAGACACAGCTTGTTGTGACACATTGGTATAATCCTTGCTTATGAGTCACAGGCCCACTCCACAGAGATATTTAAACATGTGTCTGATATTTAACATATGGGCAGTTGCTATAGGAAGACTCTTGTGCAATTTTATATGGGGTGTGAGTTGTATCCACATTCTTGCTTGGTATTGTTTGTGAAGAGCTGCAGCATTTTAGTGAAGTTGATTGTAAATGAAACAGTTTTAAAATCAGGATCTGAGCTCACAGAAGCAGATCTATAGAACTGTGTGTACCTTCTTCCAGGACTAGCACTACAGTGTGTAAAATATTTTGGATATTCTTTCCAATGAGAAAATATATGATGGTATTAATTTACCACTGCTGTTTTCTACATTTGACAACAAAGTGATTTGACTGACTTCAGCTATGCTTTTATTCTCAAAAGCAGTAGTGTGTTTGGAAATAAAGAAAGGAAAACAGTAAAATTCTTAGTGAATACGTGCTTGTGGTACTAAGTTTATTTTTGCCTATACCACAGAATTACATTCAAAAGACCAATTTCATATCATCTGAGATATGTTCACACAGTAGAAACTCACTACAAGTCATTTCAGAAGGGAAAACTGTAACCTGTAAAATGTGATTAACCAGTTGTAAAGAAGTCCAATAATCTCAACAGTGTTATACTATTTAGGACAGATGTGAGTTTACCAGTACTGCCAAATCATTTGTACTCTCTTGTGCTGCTAACTTAATTATCAGTCTGATCAATATTACACGGCTGGGACATTCTTCCACTATATACATGAAAACAATTGTATTTTCCCAGCTATATTGTAATCAGATTATTTACTTTCAGAGGTCTGTATGTTTACTCCATTTCTTTTGTTTCCACCAAATTAATTTGCTTTTTTAACATGGACAGGGAGGATTAATAACTCATTTTGCTAGTAGGAAAATTAACCTGAAACTGTAGTGATTCTTTGTGGAAATAAATTGATCTAGCACTTTCATATGTTTAAATACACAGTGAAAAGTAGTGTCCGCTGCTCAGTACTGCACTGTGTGTTTGAAAACAGTTCATCCACACCTCCTAATTGCACCACCATTTGCTTTACTGTAATGCTGTTAATCTGTAAGATGATAGAAGGAAGACAAAGACCCATGTAAGATGTTCAGGTTCTGAGACTGAAGTTCAGCCTGCCTTCCAGCTTTTGTTTGGTTTCTTTGATTAATAAAGTTTAGCTCTTATGTAATAGATTTGGGTGTATGCTGTTTGGCATTTAAGTATAACCTGCCTGTTGATAATTATTTATTTTACTTTTTAAAGGCCATGATTAAAAGTTTTATGGATGTCTACCAACTTGCAAGTTCCAGAATTGACATATTAGTGAAAGAAACAGCACCTCATCAGCTTCACACTGCAGCCCCAATGTCCAAGCACCAAACAGCTTGCCTTCGTGAAAGTGAGATCTTACAATTGGTAAGTTTGCATTTTAACTACATTTTTGTCATTTGGATTTTCTGACCATTCATATTGCATTGTTTCTACAGGGCAGAGTAGTTTTTCATTATAAATATACTAGATCAATAAAAACAGTCACAACAGAAACTTTCTGAGACTTTTTCAGAAGAGAATATGGGAATGTAAGTTATCGCAGGAATCAGTTTTACTACCGTATCTTCTTCAAGGACCTGTTCTTTGCTGCTGTCACTGGAAAAGTACACAGTTGAATTTTGGATCTGAAGAATTTAACTGTCGAAAGATATAGCCAGTGAAAACATAAAGTTGTTGATGGTGCATATAAGCACAATATTAATTGGGATACAAGATTTTTTTGTGGACAATTGTGATAAATTATGCATCTCAGTAAATACTGTGATCTGGTTATAAGGCTAAATAAATCATGATTTTCTAAACAGTTGTCCGCAAGGATACTTGAATTTGTTTAAAGCTATAAGGGTGCTTCTTCATAACTGAGAACTGTTTCTAACATTTTTATTGAATGCAGGTATATTTGTGCCACGCATGCAGGAAGCTAGACATGTAAATAAATAAAAGGCCTAAATATGTAGCCAAATATGTCTAGAATGAGACTGTGTAAGTTGTGCCACTTGCATATACTTGATGTATTTCTTTGTCTTTCTTTACTTTTCAATACAAGATTAAGAGGAAATCTTAAATCTTTAAAGGCGTTATTGTTTCATTTTGATTCCCTTCTTCTTCCTCCTTTCTTTCACTCTTCTGAAGCAAAGAACCATAAAGAAAATGAGGACTGTTTGGTTTCCTTTTTGAAGAAGAGGTATATAAGGGTAGATAACAGCAGGACAAGGGGAAATGGTTTGAAGTTGAGGGAGGGAAGATTTAGGTTGGATGTCAGGGGGAAGTTCTTTACAGAGAGAGTGGTGAGGTGCTGGAACAGGCTGCCCAGAGAGGTTGTGGATGCCCCATCCCTGGAGGTGTTCACGGCCAGACTGGATGGGGCCCTGGGCAGCCTGGTCTAGTATTGGGTAAGTAATGGGGAGGTTGGTGGCCTTGCATGTGGCAGGGGAGTTGGAGATTCATGATCCTTCAGGTCCCCTCCAACCCTGGCCATTCTGTGATGCTGTGAAGATCTTTAAGAGGAGAGCACTCAAAGGAAATGACAGAAACACATAAGCATATATATATCCGAAGGTTGTGGCTGTGACTTCCAAATTTTTACTGATTTCAAAACAATTCCATTTATTTATTAACATGCTTCAAAATGGATCAGCATGATGGAAAATTAGCACAAATAGAAAATATATTAGTCAGTGTTGAACTTCACTTGATCTGGGGATGATCACAGTCGGATGAATGCATTGTCTTATCTGTGGATGTGCAAACTTTCTAAGACACTCAATGAAATTACTTCTTTTCTCCTCCAAGCAGCCTTTCTCTATTTATGCTAGGTTTACATGCATCCTGCTGAGCCTGTGCCCACTGTAATTGTGTTGCTGCTTTGCCTGTTATGATTGTTTTTGTTGTTTAGATCAAGATGACCACTTGTATACTAAGGATTCAGAAGCCTGCCAAACTTGCTGCAGTGAGGTTTGCTTTCATTCTGATTGAGAGAGCTTTTAGAGAAGATTACACTAGTCCTGTTTGTGAAGGGCTATGCAGTGGCTTGATTTGTTACAGTGAAAACAAACAAACTGCACCCCCAGCTCTCCAATGCCTGTGATTAAATGCTATCTTCTAGTAGGTAATTTGTGTCTGCATACAGTACAGATGTACAAATCATACTGTTTGCATTGAAGTACTGCCTGGCCTTTCTACACAACCCACTGAGGAGAAAAATAGTTCCTCCTTGAATAACAATTTAAATTGAAATTTAGCATAAGTAATAATTGAAAGTATTTTAAAATTTTAATGTAAAGTCGTCCCCTCCCCCCAAAATCCAAATAGCTATTTTTCCTACTTCATTGAAAAAAATGTGTTTATTGGATATTTTGTAATGTATGTACTTTCTGTGGAATTAGTCCATAATACATGCAGATGTTTCATCAAGCATGACTTTTAGTACCTTCAGGAGTCATGGGTTTCTGGCATGGCTTACATTTTAAAGGATCGGTTGACAGTGTCCTGTTCTGATTTTGATGAAATTTTGCACTAAATTTTCCTCTGTTCAAAAAGTAGGTTTTTTTTTTTTCCTTGATTATTAGTATCTTGTGATAGCCTTTCTTTGCAATCACAACAGTTTTGCTTCTAGGTATTTCCTTTTTTTTTTTTCTTTTTTAATTTACCTTCTCTGAAATGCAACTGCCATAGTCACAGTTTTGTTCTCCACAGTTTGCTGCATTTGGGTTATTTGCTGACTGAGGTTGTCAAATGAGGAACAGAGAAGCCATCAGTGAGCCTCTACTATGAAATAAGATGGAGAATTTCACTGAGCACTGAACTCCATACTGGACTGGCACTGCCATTTGGTCCGTGAAATTTCAGAAACACTATCACAGTTCAAAACTTCTCAGTGGTCTTCCCTTCATATGTCTCTGCCCTTAAGCCCTCTTATGACTTGCCTTAGGAAAGCCTGATGTGCTTACGAGGTGGTCTTTAGTGGAAGTATTTCAACAGTAGGAGATGTACCCAAAAGAAGAGAAAATACCAGCTGAAAGTGTTCCCATACTTCTTTTTTTACTGTTTGTTGTTGTTATTCAGCAACAGCTAGTAATGTAACCATCACAGATTGGACTGTGCTTCAAGGTTCCCTTCTAAATGAACACCCGCCAATATTTTAGCAGTACTGGACTCTACTACTTTGATCCATTTTATGTCTTCAAATATATTAACTTATTACTATGCTTGCACTTTCATTCAGAGTTGTAGGAGCAAGTAGGCTTTGAACTGAGAGCTTTTAAATGCTGTACTGTGAAATACTGCAGTCATAAGCAATTACTTTGTGGGTGCTGTGGGGTAAGATGTGGCATGAAGTTAGTCACACAGCAAGCATGTGAGTCCCTGCCTGAGGGAGTCTGTGGCCACAAGTACAGTATTGTGGGGAGTGGATGCAGTGATGCTGTGTTCTTCAGTGTGCTCTGCCGCATTTGAGTTACTAACTGAATTCAGTTCATTATGGTGGTGCCCTGGAAGGTGTTTTCATAGCTTTTAGACCTGAGATTTTGTGCCTGGTGTCAGTAGTACTGTCAGAATTTGAAGAACATCAAGTTTTTTGGTACAGTTTTGACAAACAAAAGAAACCCCTTCTGCCCCATTCTAAGTGGCCAGGTGTTTCTCTGACCCGGAGAGTACTGCATCTCTGTAGCCTTAAGCATGCATGCAGCTGATGTCATTATATTCCCTCTTTTTTTTTTTTTTTTTTTTTAATCTTTTTTTTTTTTTTTTTGCTTTCACATCAGAATCAAAGGAGAGTAGAAGACGAAAGGGAAAAGAGAATAACTTTATTAAGCAGATGAGGAGGGAAAAGCTTTCTTTGCTGTTCTGGTTAAATAGAAATTTGGGGAGACAGCAGGATGACTTTAACTGTAAAAGGTGAGAAGGTTTCAGATGGGTGAGAGAGGTTCATTGAAAGACTCCAAGAGGAGCAGAGTTCTCATGAAACGAGCCATGAAACAACTGTTGTCTTTGGATGCTTCTCCTAACTGGGGCTGAAAATCAAATCATTCATTGCTTTATGTGGCTTTTCATCATCCTTGCTTTTTAACCCCTACAGTTGTGGCTACTTCTGTCTTTTGTCTAAACATTTCTAGTGATATCTCACACATTAGTGGAAATGCAAAGACCATAGGTTTTGATAAAGTGAGAGAAGTAAGTAAAGTGATCCTGTGTGTGAAAAATACATATGCCTTCATATTTTTTATTGAAGAACAGCATTAAGCAGAAAGTATACTTCCTACTCAGAGCAATCAGCTCTCAGTTCTCATTTTCTACTTGCACCTCATTCATGGTCGGGAGAGACACAACAAATGCTGTGAACTCAGACTTACCAGCTAGTGACACTGCTCACAGTCTCTTCCTACTTAACTGGACTGTTCAGGGCAGTGCATATCTTTCCCCTATGTTTTTGTTTCCATGTCACTGCTTTAATCATCATCTGAAGGCTGAGAGTTGCATCTAAGCGGGATGCAGGGTCTTACACATAGAATGATGAGAAGGGAACCGGAGAAGAAAAAGACTGTTTGACTTTTCACTTGCTGCTCAGGAGAAAGGCTCACAATCCGTCAGTGTGATGTTATGTGACAGAGAACGTGCTTCATGGGCCGGAGCCATATCTCTTGTGTTAGAACATGGAATGACTGATGCAGCTGGGGGAGTTCTTGCCAGATGTTGCATGAAGCAGATGGGTCCTTGATGAAAACTCTGCTTGGCTTTTCCACTACTTCATGCTAGCCTGGTGCAAAGTTGAACCAAAAAGATTTATTTAAGGAATTGAACTGGTTTTGTGAAAGATTAGAAAACTTATTTTTAAGTTGTCATGCAAAAAAAACAAAACAAAACAAAGCGAACTTAATATTTTCACTGTTACCTTTGTCTTACAGCATTTTGTTGGGAATAGTCCAGGACAGAAATCAGTAAGATGTAAACCTCAAATAATTGTTTGAACATTGCTCTGTATTGTTAATTAGTGGTGCATGGATTATTTACTGTGAAGTGTATGAATGTTCTTCAAGTGTTACTAAGTAAAGGAACATGTAACAGCCCCACAAAGAGAATTTCCCAACTATTGAGATAATAAGAGAGATGAAAGAGTGGAAACACGAGTATGAGCAAAAAATTAAAAAGATTCCATTTTCTAAGCTTGAAGTCTTTATTAGGATGACTCTGGAAAGCAGGAATATCTACCACGGAGCAGTTTTTTACAGAAGTATTTGCATTTCTTACCTGACTGTAAGCAACTGGCCTTCAGCTGACAACTTTACTGCACAGTCAAGGAATGCAGGTATCCTGGTATAAATGCTCACCTTGTTATGTGGTATTGCTTACATAAGTAGCAGTTGTAA